TAACAACAGACTCTCCTATGTCTGTGTTTCTCCTCTCAAAGATATTCTTAATAGTATATAGTTACTACAGACTCTCCTATGTTTGTGTTTCTCCTCTCAAAGATATTCTTAATAGTATATAGTTACTACAGACTCTCCTATGTCTGTGTTTCTCCTCTCAAAGATATTCTTAATAGTATATAGTTACTACAGACTCTCCTATGTTTGTGTTTCTCCTCTCAAAGTTATTCTTAATAGTATATAGTTACTACAGACTCTCCTATGTTTGTGTTTCTCCTCTCAAAGATATTCTTAATAGTATAGAGTTACTACAGACTCTCCTATGTCTGTGTTTCTCCTCTCAAAGATACTCAGGGTCAACATCACACACAGAGACGGCCATCAGCGTAATATGATTAGTTATGATTAAATCATTTATGATGCTGAAAAATCGTTCACATTTCACACTGTATACTGCAGCAGTATATACTGTATACCACATACTGCAGCAGTGTGATAATGTCGTTGTATAGGCTAAACAAATATAAACAAGGGCGCAGATTTACTCTGCTCTGCTTTAAGCTTTAGCTTTAGCAGCTTTCCTCCCCTTTCCCTCAGGAAACTTTTATTCAAAACTGGAGCAGCTTATTGTCAATTGTCTCTCAGCGTTCGACTGTCTTACGAGGCTGAAGTCGCTTCTCATTCGTCAGCTTCTTATTTGAATTTTCCCGTTCCACCTTAAATTCTGACTGAGGCGCCAAATGTAAATGCGACACCATTTAAGGTGGAACGGGAGAATTAGAAAGAGAAGCGACTTCATCTTCGCAACTGTTTAGTGTTTGACAGTCTCTCGTTGCAGATTTAACGTACCAGGAAATCAACAGCAGTGCTTATAAATGCGAATAACGCATCGTTGCTAGGTGACCTGCAGTCTGCACGGCAATTCTCAGTCGTTGCGAAACAGGGCTTTCGCACAATGCTGCACATGCCCCGTCTCAAAGATACTTTACTGACACAGCGACCCCCCCGTCTCTACAACGAGACCAAAACCGAAGTTATAAAATCACTGAATTAAACAGGTAGGACAGCTGTAACATGTGCTGCGTGGACATCCATCACCACTGAATCTTATTTCAGCCTAACTGCATTTTATCACAGATGAGTGGCAGCAGCGTCTCCAAACCAGAGCACTGAATGAGAGCCTTCCAGTTCACTAACCACATGACTTCCATTTGATTTATTAATAAAAGACATTGGAAATAAATTCATTATGGATCATTACAAATACTTTGCTTTAAAAGTACCAAGTCCTCACACAGTGAGAAAATAGAAATGATGTATAGAAAAAAGATGCATCGAGATGCATCGATAATTGTTTTATAATCGCAGCGCAGCCTCTGAATCGTAATCAAATCGAATCGTGAGGTGCCTAGAGATTCCCACCCCTAGTATATATTATATACCACATCCTGATACAGTATATACTGTGTACCGCATACTGCAACAGTATATACTATATACCGCATACTGCAACAGTATATACTGTATACCGCATCCTGATACAGTATATACTGTATACTGCATCCTGATACAGTATATACTGTATACCACATACTGAAACAGTATATACTATATACCGCATCCTGATACAGTATATACTGTATACCGCATACTGCAACAGTATATACTGTATACCGCATCCTGATACAGTATATACTGTATACCACATACTGCAACAGTATATATTGTATACAGTCATGTAGATCCAGCTTCCTGCAGAGTTCCGTTCTAAACCTGATCTAGCTAACACACCTGAACCTACTTATCAATGCATTATCTACACCACCTGTGGGTTGGTACTGAACTCTGCAGGAGGGTTGATCGCTAGGGTCACCAAGCTGGTGACCACAGAGCTAGCTACAGTTATTTGGGTTAGCAGTCTTTGCTAGCTGGCTAGCCACCCTTTAGAAGTTCTACAGCAGGTCAAACTCTGTTGTAATGTGTCTGGCTGAGCTTAGCAGCGCTAGTAAGCTAACCAAGTTAGCTAAATAACATCATTACAATTTAAGTTTTCACAAAGCGACTATTTTCATCATTTTTAATATTGATTGCTTCATTCCACTTGTTGCACTTACACTATTAGCGAAACAGTATGGCTAAAAGAAACGTACGTTCAGAACCGTCGATTTCCTGCTATTCGTCCAAGCCCCCCCTTAAATAAGCTCCTTTGATTGGTCAAGACTTACGTCTCACACATGCCCCTGCCCCGCCCCGTTTCTAATCCCTCAGTGAAGCAGCTACAAGTGCACAAATCAGTTTTGCAACAAGTGTACTGAGAGAAGTGATGCAAAAGTCGAGGTGGACAGATCTGAAGATTTGTGGAGCCAAGAATTAATTTGTGTACAAATAAATATATTTTAATTTATCTTAGTATATTTTCTGCATGTAAACATTTTAACATGCAAGTTTAGACAGAGGTGTAAAGAGTACTGAAAATCCCTACTCAAGTACAAGTACTGTTACTGTAGTGATCATTTACTCAAGTACAAGTACTGTTACTGTAGTGATCATTTACTCAAGTACAAGTACTGTTACTGTAGTGATCATTTACTCAAGTACAAGTCAAAATATTAGTAAATACAATTACTCAAGTAAGAGTAAATGAGTAGTTATTTAGGAGTAGGAGTTACTTAGTTACTTTTTGCTATTTCCACTGTCACAACCTGAACATATTTCTGAGCTACTCGGCTACATAACTGGAAATAATCTGATCAGAAAAACACTACAGCTAAAGTTCTGAAGCTGAGACTGATCACAGTTCGCTCTGCTGGAGCACACTGTGTCAGGAACAAGGTTCACATTAAACTACATGCATTTCATGGTTAGATGATTATATAAGATGTCTTAGTTTATCTGTTACCAGTAAAGTATTTCAGAATCCCTGAAAGACTGAGCAGAGGATGTTACTGTTTAATTAAGTTCATTTAAGAGGAAAGACAGTCAAAATTATGAGTAAATTGCTTAATTAATGATGTAATTTTAGAGACCTGCTGCCCATCAGCTCCCTGGACTCTAGATAGAGTTAACAGGTGTGAACCCTCTACAGACAGTAAACACATTCACAGCCTTCACACTGTATATTTTCACTGATATTAGTTCAGAACATTTACACCATTAAATCAGCAGCAACATCAGCAAATTACCCAGCTTTGATTTTACTGTATTTCACTAATCATGCTGATCAGTTCAGACAGAACCAGACATTATTACTGCATTAGACAGTTGAACAGCCTCTCACATGTTAAATGAACACAGATGACCGTTTGGACGTGGTCTGTTCCTCGTGTGAGCTGGTCCAGTTCTCCTCTGTCCTTCTCCACTAAACTGGACATCTCTGTAGTGTTTTTCCTGCCAGAGCTGCTGTTTTTTGATTGGTGAATCTTTTAAATTTAACCGTGTGTCGTATTGGTTTCTGAGCTGATACGCTCATAATTTATTTTTACTCTGTAACATTATGAAAAGTAGTGAAGCAAAAGTATTTCATTAAAAATTAACTCAAGTAAAAGAACTGTGATTTAATTCTACTCCAAAAAGTACCGTTACAGGGAAAACTGTACTCAATTACAGTAACAAGAGTAAATATAATTCATTACTTACACCTATGAGTTGAGATTTTAATTCTACAAGTGCTGACATCAAAAATACAAGTACAGATTTAATTCTACAAGTTCTCACACCAAAAATACAAGTACAGGTTTTATTCTACAAGTGCTCACATCAAAAATACAAGTACAGATTTAATTCTACAAGTTCTCACACCAAAAATACAAGTACAGGTTTTATTCTACAAGTTCTCACATCAAAAATACAAGTACAGGTTTTATTCTACAAGTTCTCACATCAAAAATACAAGTACAGATTTTATTCTACAAGTGCTCACATCAAAAATACAAGTACAGATTTTATTCTACAAGTGCTGACATCAAAAATACAAGTACAGATTTAATTCTACAAGTTCTCACATCAAAAATACAAGTACAGGTTTTATTCTACAAGTGCTCACATCAAAAATACAAGTACAGATTTAATTCTACAAGTTCTCACACCAAAAATACAAGTACAGGTTTTATTCTACAAGTTCTCACATCAAAAATACAAGTACAGGTTTTATTCTACAAGTTCTCACATCAAAAATACAAGTACAGATTTTATTCTACAAGTGCTCACATCAAAAATACAAGTACAGATTTTATTCTACAAGTGCTGACATCAAAAATACAAGTACAGATTTTATTCTACAAGTTCTCACATCAAAAATACAAGTACAGATTTTATTCTACAAGTGCTGACATCAAAAATACAAGTACAGATTTTATTCTACAGGTTCTCACATCAAAAATACAAGTACTGATTTAATTCTACAAGTTCTCACATCAAAAATACAAGTACTGATTTAATTCTACAAGTTCTCACATCAAAAATACAAGTACAGATTTAATTCTACAAGTGCTGACATCAAAAATACAAGTACAGATTTAATTCTACAAGTGCTCACATCAAAAATACAAGTACAGGTTTTATTCTACAAGTGCTCACATCAAAAATACAAGTACAGGTTTTATTCTACAAGTGCTCACATCAAAAATACAAGTACAGATTTTATTCTACAAGTGCTCACATCAAAAATGCAAGTACAGATTTTATTCTACAAGTGCTCACATCAAAAATACAAGTACAGATTTTATTCTACAAGTGCTGACATCAAAAATACAAGTACAGATTTTATTCTACAAGTTCTCACATCAAAAATACAAGTACAGATTTAATTCTACAAGTGCTCACATCAAAAATACAAGTACAGATTTAATTCTACAAGTTCTCACATCAAAAATACAAGTACAGATTTAATTCTGACTGTGATGGTTCCCAATGATCGTTTACACATGGTGACCTTTTTTTACCCACTGCTGGAAAGTTACTGAAGGAATCCAGAATGAGCGAATTGACGTTTCTTTTGGGTTGAACTCCACCCTGTAGAGGAGCCGGAGGAGGAGGAGGGTCTCTTTCCATGGTCTCCTCAAAACCAGCTATAAAACCACAGAGAACAAACACAGAGCTTACATTATCTCCTCTTTTACGGTAAGAAAGACTCAAACTCTGTTTATCTTCTCAGAATAGAGCAGAGTCAGTGTTTTAGTTGAGTTTCATGCAGGGTATTAGTATTGTCTGTTGAAATGGCCAGCTGTTTTCAGCCCTTTCACTTGCATAAATGAATAATTAACATGATCTGTTATTGTTTATTGTATTATATGTTCAGGAAATGCATTTGTTAGTTATTATGCTTCCTTTAATTGCTAACAGCAACCTGCACAGTAAAGACTTCCAGACTGGCTAACAGTTTTATACCTAAAGCAGTAAGACTCCTTAATAGCTCTCCAATGCCCCCACTACCCCTCACTAACAGTTGCTAAAACTTCTAAAACTGAGAAATAGTATTGTTTTTTGAAAAATATATGCCCATTTTGAATTTAATGGCAGCAACAAAAAAAAGTTGGGACGGGGGCCTGTTTACCACTGTGTTTCACTACCTGTTCTTTGAACAACACTCTGTATGTGTAGAACTGAGGAGACACTCCTGTAGTTTTGAAAGTGAAATGTTTAATATAAGAGTCACCTATTCCATCATAATGTATCATAATTTATGTGCTTCATTAACTTATTAGTCTATTATTTATTGCAGATATGTCTATTTATTCAATAATTATTGTTCTTAATTGTGGAGATGCTGTGATGTCTTGTTTTATAACAATAACAACAAAGACCTTTGAACCTTGAACTTACAGGGCAGTAGTTCTCTCAGTTTTCTCCAAGGAGGATCTCCGTCGCGTTGTGTTCATCTGGTTTATGTGGGAAGTTAAATTAAACATGTAGGTTGTGCAACTGATGGATCCATTAAACGCTTTATATACACTTTATAACTGCATAAATAACAACTACAGTCAGATTTAGACAAGATGAACAGTATATAGTGTATTCTGTATATTGTATACTGTACCAGTATATACAACTGCCTCATTATTTAGTGTATATTGTATGCTGCATTAGTATGTACTGTATAGTGCACTAGTATACACTGTACATTACATACCGCATTAGTATACTGTATAGTGTATCAATATATACAACCCCATTTCCAAAAAAGGTCGGACGGTGTGCAGAATATAAATGAAAACAAAATGCAATGATGTGCAAGTCAATTACATTTATTTGAAATTAGTACAAAGACAACGTATCAAATGCTAAAACTGAGAAATAGTATTGTTTTTTGAAAAATATATGCCCATTTTGAATTTAATGGCAGCAACAAAAAAAAGTTGGGACGGGGGCCTGTTTACCACTGTGTTTCACTACCTGTTCTTTGAACAACACTCTGTATGTGTAGAACTGAGGAGACACTCCTGTAGTTTTAAAAGTGAAATGTTTTCTCATTCTTACTAGATTGAGAATTTCAGCTGCTCAACAGTTCGGGGTGTCCTTTGTCATATTTCTTGTTTCATAAAGTGCCGTATGTTTTCAGTGGTGACAGGTCTGGACTGCAGGCAGGTCAGTTTACCACCCAGACTCTTTTACTATGGAGCCCTGTTGTTGTAACACGTGCAGAATGTGATTTTACAATGTCTGGCTGAAATAATTAAGGCCTGCCCTGAAAAAGACGCCGTCTGAATGGCAACATACATTGCCAAAACATGTATATATCATATAACAAGCTGAGTGGTCTTTAGCCCGGAGGACAGAGTGTCCATGATTTCCAAAAACAAAAACAAAATTTTGATTTTTGATTCATTGGACCACAGTACACTTTTCAGCTTCCCCTCAGTCCATTTTAAATGAGCTCAGGCCCAGAGAAGGTGGCGGCGTTTCTGGATTCTGTTTATATGTGATTTCTTCTTTGCATAGTTGAGTTTTAACTTGCATTTGTAGGCACAGCGACAAACTGTTTTCACAGACAGTGGTTTTCAGAAGTGTTTCTGAGCCCATGTAGTGACTTCCACTGCAGAATCGTGTGTTTTAAATGCAGTGCTGCCTGAGGGCCCAAAGATCTTGGCTAGCCAATACTGGTTTTTGGCCTTGTCCCTCATATACAGAGATTTCTGCGGATTGTCTAAATCTTGTAATGATATTATGTACTGTACATGACGAAATGCCCAAGCTATTTGCTATTTTATACTAAGAAAGATCATTTTTGAGTTGTTGCACTATTTTCCGATGCAGTCTTTCACAGAATGGTCATTCTACTGGGCTCTTCAGGACACAGGGTCTCTGGTGGGATAGAGTTCAGGTTTATGAAGGTGGAATCCTGACGTTGATTTCCGAGTTTGAGAAGTTTGGCTTGTCTGTAATGTAAACATTCACTGAGTGCTTGAACAAGTAAGCTTAACACACATAAAAAAACAAAAGTGCTGCTGTATGACTGAGAGATCCGAGCTGCTGTATCTGCGTCTGTTTGCACCGCCATCTTGGAATGATGCATGGTTTGCCACCAGTATACACTGTAATACTGCATCAGTATATACTGCATACTGCATAAATATATACTGTATACTGCATACAACATACACACAGAGGCCTACCCACACAGAGAGAGAGAACCATGTGTGATTAACTATGGAATCAAATCAACCATAAATGTATTTACAACAAAAACTCTCTACATACATGCTTCTCCTCTCAAAGATATTCTTAATAGCATGCTGTAGCAGTATATAATGTGTACCATAGAGTATATATATATATATATATATATATATATATATATATATATATATATATATATATTCTACATTCAATGCTTATCCTTTTTCTGTATTTTATTCAAAAAAGTAACAAAATACTATCATGAAATAAATATTCTTCTTAAATGAAACTTTAAAGTTCTGACTTCAACTGGTGCTCAGGTAGTGCATCCAGGTGGGAAATTATTTTTTTCAATAAAACCGAGACCACTAGAAAACAGCTTAAGAACAATATCAGGAGGCCAACCAAAGTTTAAAGGAGATGCAGGTGAGTGAGAGAAGGTTAAAAGAGGATATTATGTGGCTGGAGAAGATGCTTGTCAAGCTGGCTGAGGAAACAGCTCCAAATCCAAACAAAGGCTCAGCCAAGGGGTGAGCACTCTAGCATAAAGCATAGCAACCCCATCTAACCTGGCAACCCCATTCTAAAAGTTCTAGCTACACCTCTAAATCCAAAGGGCCTTGAGCTGCAAGCTGTTTTCAAATGATTAAAACGGGCATCAATTCAGTTTTAGTTAGATCATTTTAATCAAAAATAAAGTTTGTGTCTCAAAATCTTGGTGCTTGGACCTCGGTGATCACCGTTTGTGACCGAGTTAATGGTAATGTAATTTGTGGACGGTCCCTTAGCACTCGATTCTATTGTATGTACTGTATCCTGGTACTGCATGAGAAGATACTGTATACTGTGTACTGCATCAGTATATACTACTGCCCCAGTATATAGTGTATATTGTTTGCTGCATTAGTGTGTATTGCATAGTGCACTAGTATATACTGTATACTTCATATTGCACAAGTATAAACTGTATACTACATACTGCACGAGTATATACTGTATATTGCACCAGTATATAATGTATGCTGTATGCTGCTCCAGTATATTCTGTATACTGCTCCAGTATGTACACTTTATACTGCACCAGTATATACTGTATACTGCACTTTGCCAAGGGAGGCTGCACAAAGGATTAAATGAAGATGTGCCAACAATTGTGACACGCAGAGATTTGGGGAAATATTACTTTCATGATTAGATTTGTTTTTTTTCTTTCAATAATTGTACATCAATTAAAGGTTAGTTTTTTGTTAATATTTTGAATTAAAGATCAAAAGACGGTTTGTTTTGCTCATGTTTTTGTGGTGTTTTGTGGTCAATATTTGTGGAGATCACCGTAGACCCAGCTTATTTACCTAGCCCTCCAATCACTGCTTAGCAAGCATTACTAAAAAGCTCTTGATGTGTACTGGAATATTTGGCTGGTCTATGTTATTCAGTTATCTTTATTGCACTGGAGAAATTCATATTGTTCACATACTGCGTCACAATCAGTACACAAGCAGTGAGGAGTTAAGCTGTTTTCTGCAATACCTCTCTAAACTGAAGATGGTTTTGTGTTGGCAGGGCGTCGCTCCAACACACAGGCAGGACACATCAGACTGCATGACAGACTCTGTAGAGGGAAGCAGTGGACAATCTGAATGAAGTCTGGAATGAACATTTAACCACTGTGATAATGGCTCTTTCTTCATATCTGCTTCTGCTCCTGGTGGTTCTCAGTGTTTCAGCTGTTCACAAAGGTACGTTGGAAAAGCTGTTTGTCTACTGAGGTGCAGGACCCTTTAAATATTCAGAGGAAAATAAACCTATAAAGCACATCCTTGGGTGCAAATACTTTCTGTAAATTATACTTTAAATTGTTTTTTGCACAAATTGTGTTATTTTTCACAGACATATAAAAAAAATGCTATCATCAGTGAAAAAACATATGATCAACTGTTCCAGTTCATGTTGCATGAAAACGTGGTTTTTAGACAGTTCACCTGAGATAAGAGACTTTTCTGTAAGGTCAGATAAACGAATGAGTCTTTTCTCCTCAGTGGAGATGAGGAGATGTTCTAACGTTGGTTTGTCAGAGAAATATACTTCCACTGTTTGTGGTCCCAGCTAACGTCAGCTAGAGTAGTTAGTCTAGGTCAGTGTTTCTCAAGCCTGGTCCTGGAGGCCCACTGCCCTGCACTTTTTAGTGTTTTCCCTGCTCCCAACACACCTGACCAACTAATCAGCTCATTAACAACTCCTTACTGAGTTGAGTGAGTCAAAGGGAGAAAAATGCTCAAATGTGCAAGGCAGTGTGGCTCCAGGATCAGGGTGGAGTAACACTGTTCCAGTTGATACTGTGCAGTTGCTGTGCTGTCTCTGCCTCCTCAGTTACACCCTGAAGAATGTGTTCTTGGCAACATGCTCACATTCAGACACTCATGTTTCCGAGAAGCTCAGTGTAATATACACACTTACGAGCAAAACCTTTTTTCCCGCGATGAAACATAATACTCAAATAGTGATTTCAGTGCTCAAATACTGCCACCTCGAATGGTGAACCGAGTACTCGAGGCCGGTTTAATCATGAGAACTCATCATATCTCAATACACGTGTGTTTGTTTACAAGCGGATCTTGACCGTTTCAGTGTGGGGGTGCAGATGTGTTGCCAGCTGTGAACAAGAGAATGTAGTCACAAGAGAAGTCAGTCCAGCTCCTGAAGTCCTAACTTCAGTCCAGCTGATGGAGGCTTAACTATAATCCTCCTCCTCTCCCTCTCATTCCTACACTGGTATTTCCTAGTTTGTAACGCCACCCAAATGCGGTAAAAGATTTGATCTGGTCTTCTGGTTTTCTTTGTGGAACATTCAGTTCCACAGTTTAACTAGAAAACTCTATAACTGTTGATCATGTTAACTGAGCTGAGGTGAGAACAGTGAGCCTCATCCACCAACTGTGGAAGAAATTTCCTCTTAAAACCCACTCAGTTTTCATGATTTCTCATTTGGGATTTGAATCTATGAAGACTTTAGAGCACAAAGGTGAGAACAGTTCTGCGCTTTAAGAACACGTCATGAATCTGATGTAGACTTTTTCTTAGAACCTTTCTCAAGAACACACTTAAGAACAAACTTAGGAAGATACTGGAGAAAGAGGCCCATTAACTTTAGCTAACAGTTCATGCAGTTAAAGGTTTCAGGACTGTTGATAGGAGTGGACAACATTAACTCATCTAACATTACTGGGGTTTGATGCTGTAACAATGCTGATCAAAGGAACCCTTGTGAAACCTAAGGGAACTGAAGAGAGAACACAGTTGAAGACAGTGTTCATGTGGGTTTATGTGACCTGTGGGTCCAAAAACAGGCCCCTGTAGACGCTGCATCATCTCACTCTGAAGATCACTGATCTGTAGAATTCTGTGTAGATGCTCTGAATTAAAGAAAGAAAGAAATATACAGTGACTGTCCAGGTTTTTGAGTGGAATCTGTATATTAATAACATAAATGTAACACTTTTTGTAATTTAACAATGTAAAAGACAGTAAGTAAAACAGAGAAGAGTAAAGGCTGGACTTGTTCTTATTTGCTGTGGCCTTCCACTCAGTGAAAGTCTCAAAATGCTGAATTTTACCAAAGCAACTTTTTATAAAGTTATTATCTAATAATCATCGATAATCACAGTGAATAGTGAGTGGATTGTCTGCTTGATGGCTGTAAATATTTTGTGACTGTGATGTTTCAAGGCTTGGAAATCCAGTATAGCACAGTGTGCTAAGAGCTTCAACTGTACAGTGTTTTGATTGTGGCCTCTTTTCTGCTTCACCCTCTCCTCCACATTTTAACAATGTGTAACTGCCTCCTCATTTATTCTAGGCTTGAAATATCCAGATGAGGTTTCATCACCAGATGCAGAAGATAAAAGTGAGTAAATACACAGTTACCACTAAACAAAACTAACCTGTCTTAATAATAATTTAATTAAAATCACTTAACAGGAGAGTTTCTGTGTCTGCATTCTAAGTTTTACTATTTATGTTCACCATCGTAGACACAGTGATATGAAGCAAATTATGTTTACAAAACAATTTGTAGGAGTTATGGGTGAATTACCACTATTAATTAAGATATTAAACTTTTTTTCTTATCAATAATAATAATTATAATAAGTGGGTAACCAGTACAACAGGACAAAGTAGTCTCTGAATGGGGTATATTTAACAGTTAACCCTATTAAGACAACTAATAACAATAGGAAAAGTAAAAATTAGCTAATTTCCTGAATAAAACATGTTCACTCAAATTTGGTGAAGGTCTTTCTTAGCTATTAGAACTCTGTGATATGAAATACACATTCACAGGTAAAACATTTAATATGTTTTAAAATGTTTACTAATAAAATAATTGGTAAAATGAATAATGCAGGATATATGTAGGAAAATAAAAAATTGAAAACCAAGGTAATATAAGAAATCTACAAATATATTCAGATCTTCATTTAAGTCATGACAATAGTTAGAAAGAACCCAGTAAAACACAACACAAAAGTTTTTTATTCTTTTATTACACAAAGTGATGCAACATTAAATGTCTTTAATGTATTCAGACCTCTGCTTAACTTGTGTGACCACCTTGAGCAGCAATGACTTCAACCAAACAGTTCCTGTAACTGTTGATCAGCCTGTACATTGACCCTGGAGCAATCTCATTCAGTCTTATTGCCACAGGTGTATAAAATCAAGCACCTAGCCATGCAGTCTGCCTTTACACACATTAGTGAAAGAGAGAGTCTAAAGAGCTCACTGAATTCATGCATGGTTCTGTAACTTTGCAAAAAGTCAGTTTGTTCAAATTTCTTCCCTCCCTGATATCCCATAATCAGCTGTGAGTGTATTATTGAAAAGAGGAAGCGTTTAGGAACCACAGCTGTTCAGCTACGAAGTGTCAGACCACGTAAAGTTACAGAGCGGGTCTCCGAGTTCTGAGGAGCATAGAGCATAAAAGTCTCCAATACTCTGCTGACTCAATAACTGCTGAGTTCCAACCTCCTCTGGCATCAACATCAGCACAGAAACTGAGCGACAGGAGCTTATTATAACTGTCCTGTTTTGTGTGACTGCTACTGGCTGCTAAATTTCCTTCTGAATCAATGAAGTATTACGCTTCTCTATCTGTCAGTCTGATGGACGAGTCTGGGTTTGGTGAATGCCAGGACATAAATGTCCACAAAGCAGAAAATACAGAAGTTTCATTAAATTGTTTCCCTTTTATAAGTTGTATTTTTTAATAATTCTTAGCGTTATTTATCTTTAGCTGGACTGAGTCAGTGTAATTTTATAATGTTTAGCTCGACAAAGACTAAAGGCATAGTAATGTATATGAAAACTACATCAGTACTTATTTCTGTAATGCAATAACAACTCAGAAACAAGAAAAACTCTGTGCAGACTGTGCAGATTCATAAATACTTAGATACTAGAAATACTGGGTATATTTCAGTATTTAATGCTAAGAAGTTATTATAGTGGTAAGTACAGTGAAGAGTAGGTAAGTACAGGTGACAAAGGTACTAAACTTGTATCAAACAGTACTGGGTACCTTTTTTCACTATAGCCATTCTTCCATATTTTTCCATATTTATTCCATATTGTTTATTGTTTATCTTTTCATTAAATAAATATTTTTATCAAATCAGTCTGTGCCCCAAACTCTCATTTAATACTTTGAGCAGCCTCCCTTCGCAAAGATAACAGCTCGAGACTGGAGAACACACGGTAAAGGATCTGAGACTGTTCCTTCATTCAGAACCTCTCTATATCCTACAGATTCTGAGGTCCACACTGTAGACTCTTCTCTTCAGCTCATCCCACAGGTTTTCTATGAGGTTTAGTTCAGGGGACTGGGATGACCAGAGCAAAACCTTGATTCTGTGGTCAGTGTGTAAGGGTCCAGTCCGTGCCGCCAGCTGCCAGCAGAGGGCCATGGCGGTGAGGCGCTATTAGTCCATGGAACTCCAGTTACCAGAAATCTATGGGCTAATCAGTGCCAACCAGGCACAGCTGTGGATATTGCATTTAAAATCATGGCAAACGGCAGCCCAGTGCCACACCTTTATAAAGAGGTGACCAGTACAGTACTTAGAGAGTCTTTCTCTGAATTAAAAAAGAGAAAAAGAGAGCTAAAATAATAAGATAATAGATCTTCCTCTCATATCTACACATCCACAGTCACATCTACGTCCACAGCGCAGTACCTGCTCAAAGTGCTCTCACTCTAAATGTGAACTATTACATACAAGCTCACGCATACTTACCAAAATTATTTATATTATATATATTCATAAAATCTATATACAGTAATTATAATAATATACAACAAATCATACACTCTTAGTTCCTTTAAACCCTTTGTCACAGGATTTCCTCTCTGCACTCAGGTCCATTTCCTTGTTATCTCGTAACACAGTGAACCATTTTCACATTTGTGTTCATTTTAAGCTGTGCTTTGGATCATTGTCCTGCTGGAAGATCCAAACTATGGCTTAGTTTAAGCTTCCTGGCTGAGGCAGTCAGGTTTTGACTTAACGTCTACAGGTACTTGAGGTACTTGGGAGTCTGTGATGCCAAACAAACAAACTGGCCAGGGTCTTTGGAAGAAACACAGCCTCACAACATCACAGATCAGCCACCATACTTCTGACCTACTCTTCTGCAAGGCTATCTTTGTTTCTACGTCAAACCCACCTCTGGTGTTTGTTACCAAAAAGCTGCTTTATAAACAGCTGCATACCAACACCAGCCACACATGGAAACCAAGTAAAACTGTAAACTACTTTACCTAGCTTACCCAGCACAAACCTAAAAACAACAAATGCCCAAATGCAAAGGACACATGGCACTGTTAATGTGAATCACCACTCTTACACAGAACTCCAGCTTTGTAGCCTTTTTTCTCACCTTTTAATGTCTTGAGCGTAACAGCTCCCTGCTTAAATACTGCAAAGCACACTGACAAAAAATAAACAAATCTTTGTCCTACCTTCAGAAATGATGCAGCCGTGAAGTTGCTTTGAATATCCTCAGTAGTGTCTCTTGCTGTTCCCTATGATGAATTTTTGTTGTAAGATCCTGTTCAAATGAATTAGCTGTGCAATTTACTCCTTCCTTCTTGCTGAGCTTGCTCCATATGTTAATCCAAGATTCAATGCTGTCTGTACAGTAGGCTTTGCTGTTAGACTGGAATGATATCTTCCAAAATACTCAGAGGAATCTGAGTTTCTTGTCCAGATCAGTCATTTTGTTAATAGCTGATCTGTTTAGCGATAGTACCCTCGGCCTCTGCTGACTCTGATCAAACTAATTCTAACTAATACAATCGTTCGTAATGAACAGGCTGCAATGATTTGCGGTGATGTGGTGCTAATGGTTGGTGGGTGGAACATTGTAGAAGCTAGACAATAAAAATCAAGTTGAGATGACAATGCAGTCTGCCCATTAGACTGAGGGTGGAAAGGCTACTCCAGCACTTTCTCAGCACTGCAGTAACACTGACGTGGTGGTGGTGTGTTAGTGTGTGATGTGTTGGTACGAGTGGATCAGACCAACAGTGCTGCTGGAGTTTTTAAACACTGTGTCCACTCACTGTCCACTCTATTAGACACTCCTACCTTGTCGGTCCACCTTGTAAATGTAGAGTCAGAGACGATAGCTCATCTGCTGCTGCACAGTTTGTGTGGGTCATCCTCTAGTCCTTCATCAGTGGTCACAGGATGCTGCCCACAGGACGCTGTTGGCTGGATATTTTTGGTTGGTGGACTATTCTCAGTCCAGCAGTGACACTGAGGTGTTTAAAGACCAGCGCAACACACACTAACACACCACCACCACGTCAGTGTTACTGCAGTGCTAAGAATGATCCACCACCCAAATAGTACCTGCTCTGTGAGGGTCCATGGGGGTCCTGACCACTGAAGAACAGGGTAAAAGGGGGCTAACAAAGTATCAGAGAAACAGATGGACTACAGTCTGTAACTGTAGAACTACAAAGTGCACCTATATAGTAAGTGGAGCTGATAAAATGGACAGTGAGTGTAGAAACAAGGAGGTGGTCATAATGTTATGCCTGATCAAGGTATATGTATGTGTGTGTATATACATAAATATATGATGCCCATTCATATATATTGTTTTGTTGTCCTGTCTAGTATTTTTGTCTGGTATATTTACTGTATACTATGTGGGGACACCTACACATCACACCTACAGGAGCTTTTGACATCCCATTCTAAATCCATAATCCATAATATGGAGTTGGTCCCCCTTTGCAGCTCTAACAGCACATCTTCAATCTGAGCTGCAGCCTGAAGAGAGGTGTGGAAGAACTTGACTGGCCCTCGCAGAGCCCTGATCTCAACCCCATCAAACACCTTTAGGATGAACTAGAACGGAGATTTCGACAAGATTTTGGAGGGTCTGTGGGAATTCTTGCCCTTTCATCCAGAAGGGCATCTGTGAAGTCAGACACTGATGTTGGACGAGAGGGCCTGGCTCACAATCTCCATTCTAGTTCATCCCATAGGTGTTCGATGGGGTTGAGGTCTGGGCTCTGTGAGGGCCAGTCAAGTTCTTTCACACCTCTCTTCAGGCTGCAGCTCAGATTGAAGATGTGCTGAAGAATTCCACACAGCTTCTCCGTACACAGTTTCAGCACCCTGGGTTCAGTGCCATCAGGTCCCGCTGCTTTGCTCTGCTTGAGTTTTTCAGTTCCTTCTTCACCTGATTACCAGTGAAAGTATTATCACTGGACATTCTAATTGTGGGGGGTGGGTGAGAGGTGTCCATTGCAGACAGTGGTTGCTGATGGTCTCAGGTGTGAATGGCTGTGGTGGAGGAGGTTGAGGCTGTGGATGGCCCATGGCGTAGTTG